GCCACACCCTCTTCAGGATCGACGTACCCGCCCACGAGCGCCGCGGCCTTGGCGGAGGTATCGAGAGACTCGACCGCGAGAGACTCGGTGACTTCTTTGAGGTCTTCGTCAAGCAAAAGGGACTCGGTTGCCGAGCTGGCTGCAGCACCCACGCTCAGATCAGGACCCATGGCTCGTCGGATAGCTTCCAATCTAGCCGAGTCCACCTCAGGCTCTTCGACGCCTAGCTCTTCGTCGCCTCAAGGAACAGATGCGTCGCGCAGAAACTCTTCGGCTGTCGGCTCTTCACTAGCGGGGGGCAGTGTGATACCCATCGGCTCCAGCTCACGACCCGCTTCAGCTTCTTTTGCGAGCCCGAGCGCCCATAGCATTTCCACATCGGTTGCTGGAAACGCACCGGGCGGCAGAGCCTCACTGTTGAATATGCACCCTAGCTCGCCCGCTGCGAGGAGAGACGCGGCACGAGCTGCTGCTGCCGCTTCGTCCGACACACCATCCATCACCACTAGTCCGCTCGCTGCAAGTAGTACTGCAGGAAGTCGAACGATTACACCTTCTAGAAGCTACGTCAAGTCGAGCGGTACTGGTACTGGGTACATTACACCTCCCATCACGAGCAACAAGGAGGAACCAAGGGCAGACAGTGGCGATGGACAGCACTCGACGCGACCCTCTTCAGTCGAAGAGGCAAGGATGCCGGCAGAGACCATCACGACACAAGAGCAAAAAACGGACGATGCTGCAGCAGATTCTCGTGTGGACTCCAACTTGCCCAGTTTGACAGACCAAGGATGACGGCGCAGCTAGTCGGCAACTTTGGAGAGTCCTCCACCTTTCCCAATCTCAACCTTCGCCTTACCCTGTATTCATTGCCCATGCTTAGTGCATTGCGCGTCACTAATTGCGATGGTCTGTGCCGAGTGACACAAAAACTGACCATACCGCTCGAGCTGACTAGCCGGCCTGAGGCCCCGCTCCGGCCGAGCCATTTCGAAGCAGACATGTCATCGCGATAGACGATCTATTTGAGGAGTGACGGAGGTCCGAATGCGTAACCATGCTGCGACGCGCTGGTTCCGGTTGCCAGAGATGCCCTTCCAGACCAATCTACGACCAAATCTTCGTTGAATGTTTTTCCTGGCGAATCCCCACCTCAAGGGTCTCTCACAGCCTGCTGAGCTCACCAACATCTGTCCTGGCTTCGTTCTTGGCATCTCCCAATCTCTCTCCGCGCGACAGAGCGAGCAAAGAGTCTCTGACGTCCTCGATGAGATCGTTGATATCTTCCAAGCCTACCGAGATACGAACAAGACCCGGCTGAGGTGGATAAGAGCCGAGGAACACAGAATGAAAGAAAGGCAAATGATGGAGCGCTCAGCGATGCAGACGAAGAGGCGTCAAGGATTCAGACGCGAGCAGGACAAACGCACCTCTTCCGTAGATTCGGCAGCTTTGCGCCACTCCATCAAAGACTCGACACCTCCTAGCGAAGTAGCAGGCTAGGTGCGGGTCACGATTTGAAGTGTGAGCTGGTCCGACTCTACAGCACCGGGCTGCTACGCTCGAAGGCGCACTCACGATGAAGTATTGAGTGGCGTGCGGCAAGTAACGTGCGTACTTTTCTTCCGAGAGCTACAAATCGAAGTGATCGCAAG